TTTCTTTTGGTCTATAATGAAAAGAAATCACCCTTGTTGCATCTTTTAGAAGGTTCCACAGAGTGGTTTTTATATATTCTCTGCTGTTTCTGCTAAAGTCTATGTGAGTGTTGGAGGTAGTGCTTAAAAGTTGGGCGGATGTTTGAAATATGTGCAGGAGTGGTGGCTCTCTTAAGAAATGAAAAGAAGAATAAAAGAAAAACAAAGAAAAATTGAAAGCAAAAGAGAGCCACTACTAAAAATCTGAATAATGCCCAGTAAGTAGTGTTTCTTAGCAGTCTGGCTTGGAAATGCTGATGTTTATGCCTCCTTCGCTCTTGTGCTCTTAAGATATTGAGTAATGCAGGATAGCAGAAAGAAAATACCGGGTTGCTGACTGTGTTTGTGTGTTCGGGAAATGTGGAACCTTTTGCTATGAATACTTCCACCACCTAAAAGGCCTTTTCCCCATGTCCAAGACCCTAGCCAGTCATTTGAACCTTTGTCTAAGACCTCCTGATTAGTTAGTGGTGACACCCCATATGTGAACTCTATCATTTAGAGGCTGCCATCATGGTGAAGAGATGATAGGGATTGAGAGAAATAGCATGCGCATCTTTCGCATCAAATTGTCCTGACCCCACTGGTCGAGAGTGAGTGATTCATTTTCATTTCCTATATGCTCTTGTACCCCGGTGAGGACCTAGATTGCTCGGTCTCTATTCTGATGTCTTGAGTTAGATGTATGAGTTGACTGTTTTGAGTAAGTGGTTGAATCAAGTCTAGGTTGGCCAGTGAACAGACGGGAGACTCTTCCTTTACTCGATTTGCTGCACTCGAATGTCCTTTGTGGTGGTTGTCCAGGTTGTTATTGAGGTTGTGCATGTATTGATGTTTGAAAACCAGTGCGATTCACGTGTTCTGTGCCTTTATGACTTGTCCCCAGTGTTGGTTGATTGAAATGTGTAAGCTTACCTAGTGTCTGACTTGGTTTGCTTGGTTTATTATATATATATCTACACATAATATAATACACCAAAGGGAAAAACGGGAGCCCCATTTCAAATTTTCTGCAACGAGAGTGAAAGTAGGAAGGACATTTTGGTCTTCACAATTACTTTTTTTTATTCATTAAAAAGGTATGTACTGGGATTCGAACCATGACCATTTTAAAGAAAGACAAGGATCATAACCAATCACACTAAGTACATTTGTTGTATCCTTTTAAATTAAAAACATATAATAGCAGGGTGGAAAAAACTCTTCCCCCATTTCAAATTCCCTGTTCCATGAGCGTTTGTAGGAAGGGTAAAATAGGGAGTGTCAATTTTTTCTCTTTCCTCTATGGAACGGGCCAACTTACCGTACACATGCAGATTTAAACGAGTCAAGGAGTGTCAATTTTTTTCTTTATACCCTTTTATTTATCCGTGGTGATAAAATATATATGAAAAGGCAAAAATAATACTCTTTTTTATTGTTAAAAATAAAAAAATTAAAAATAGACTAATGCATGGTATCTAATGGGCTAACCGCTAACCATAAAATAAAAGAGTTGAATGGGCCTGACCTACATGGGATTTGGTCATCAAGTAAAACAAATGAACATCATGGGTTTGCCATTCTAAAACAAGCTATTTTCTCTGGCATAATATACATTATGCTATTATTTTATATCTTAGTGGCTAAAATATAATGTATTTTAAAGTTATTCAATGGTTCAACCTCGACCAACCCAATTAGTCCAATTTTTATCATTTCAAATATATATTTTATAATTATTTGACATCATAATGATCAAATTATAGTGTATTTTATAGGGAATCGTTTGGTATTTGTTAGTAAAAAACTAAACATAAAAATCTATTTGGTTATTTTAAACATTAAAACGATCCTCAACATTTTCAGTTCCTTTTGAATTTATATGGTTTTATTCCCGAATAAGTGATGTGCAAATGGCGAATTGTAGTCGTCTTTTTTCTTTCACTATTTTTTTATTTTCAAATAGAAAGTTTAAAAGTAAAGAATAATTAGAATTTGGCATGGGTCGGTCAAACAGGTTGAATTTCAAGTTTTGGCCCATTTGTTTTATGCATTGCAAATTTATTAGCATGTTGATGGAAATGGCTTGGAAAAAAGACATATAAGTTGTATCTTTGCAGAAATGTCCTCAAATGTTTGAATGCTTTGTGAATCAGGTTCTGTGACTTTTGTGATGGTGTATGTGCTTGACGATTGCTCGATGTTGTAACTACTTAATTTAAGAGTAAATCTTTTGACTTTCCCTATGAGTTGTGATACCAGTTCTGGTGGTTGCAGCATGTTGTCGTTGTTGGCCTGTAAAAGTTGTTCCGCCGTGATGCTAAATACCTTTCTTTCTTTTTTAACAAATTGTGTAGTAGTGCTATGAAACAGACCACCCATGAACGCTACGCTTATTATGTTCTGTTCTTACTTCCGGTGGTGAGAAATTGTGAATTGAGAATCATATTCGCCTACCGCACTGTGTCTGGTTGGTGGCTGCTTACTGTGCTCTCTAGAGTTATGAAACAGACTACCCATGAACTTTACCCTTAAGAGTCCACAACTTTGCGAAAAACCAAATATAGGCAATCAAAGGTGGTGGATGTGTGATGATTTTATATGGCTTAATTGTTTGTGAATTAGATATCTGATCTTTGTATGATTAGAGGGGATGTTTGCTTAATAGAATAATCCATTTTAATTCATGTTTATTTTTAACATGAACTTTAGTAACTCAAAACCTTTGAGACACATATCACCTACTGCATTGTATCATTTTGCCTGGGTGCTTGCTGTGTTGTCAAACTTCTTTGCTGCTGATGCATTTACACTAACAGGGGAGTTAAGAACCCATGAATGTTTCCGTTTGACACAAACAAGAGGACTTACTTCTAAATCGTGCACTAAAGATGATTGGAGGAAACATCTCTGTTGCAGTTGATACACTGGAGACCATAACAAAAGCAACGTATAACATCAAAACCAACCATCTGAACTATTAGCATTGTTGCTTTACTCTTTTTTCGTGGTTGAGTCTCCTTCAAAAAATTTAGTTTGATTTTAGAAAATTTTGCTTCTGCAATCCTGTCTTGCCACCAACGCGTTCAGTAGATGGAGATGGCAGAGGCGAAGGCTATTTTGTGTTGTTGTTGCTGGTTTAGGGATCGGTTTGTGAAGAAGAGGGAGAAGAGAGGGGGAAAGGGAAATGCATGAGAGGGGGATAACTCTTTTCTCCGACAAAAATGGAGTGAAGAAAGGAATTATGATCAGTAAGGATATGGTTATCTTACATAACTGTGTCTATTCTGTTTGAATTGAGCTTGGGAGGTAGTGATAAGGACGAGCTGCAACCAATTCATAGTGATAAGAGTGCTATGAACTGTGATCATGTCTTATTTCAAGTTAGAAGGTAGTTTCAGTATAAGGATTATTTAATTTGACAAGTTGTTTCGTCCATGATTCTTGGTAGTTTCAGTGCCATTCTAGCCATTGTTTAGTCTGTAATTTTTGAGAATTGATGTGCGAGTAATGACTTTCACTTAGCTTCAACTATTATGTGTGTATTTATTGGCATGTGATAGAATTCTCTTTTCCTTTTCTTTGAATTCAGTTTCATACTCTAATTGTATCATTTGTACATAGGCAAATCATGCTCGAGATGACAACTCGCTGATATGGCTGGTGCAAGGAATGAAGCCATCATTAAAATTCAGACCGACAACGGGGAGGGATGCCCAGGACTAATTCAATGATGATTGATGATGGTATGATAAAAACTGCAGTCTGCATCAGCACCAATTTCTAGGCCTAAGTAAAGTTATTCAACCCAGAACTCTGCTTAGCGCTAAAAATTGCCCTCACCCAACCTTTATCCTGTTTGACCCACTTCTGAAGAGTCAAGATATATTACTAATTCTCTCCGTTCGTATTTTCTTATTGGCTCTTTCTGACCCTTTAGGTTGGGGCGGGTCGGGACGAATCGGATTAGTGGGTCGGTCCTAATCAAGTGGAATCCCAATCCCTTCACTCTCACTTGCTTTCTCTCCCATTCCACAAGTGGGTAACATACAGTAATCCGGCCAACGGGCCGAGTAATAAGCTAGTATATATATATACTATTAACGACCAGAAAACATGATTAATGAAGTCGAACAGGATGACTTGGCTAGCTAAGCGTAAGCTTAGCGTGCCAAAAGGCAAAAGAGGCAAACTGATCGATTTCAACGACTCCCCTCTTTTAGACACGTGGAGATAAAAACCAATACAACTTGAGCCAAAATAACTTTTCCTTGATGGCGGAAAATGGATGAAAGAAAGGAAGAGAACGATAGCAACAGTCCAAACTCCAAAAGATGAAAACAAGAGAAAATCATCACTAAGCTAATTGATTAGCTACCGCTAATCAGCTAATTAGATATGTAATAATATAATAATAGGTCAGTTTCAGAAATATAGTTATCCGATGTTGATGTCAAGAACGAAGAATACCTTCTGCCTCATAAATGGAGTCATCGGGATTCTGACACTAGATCTTTGTCACATAATACTCTAATACTATATCAGGAACCAATTGGTCTATATCAAGAACACCTTCTACCTTACCGATGGAGTCATTGGGATTCAAATACAAAACCTTTCGATTACATAAGGCTCTAATACTATATCAAAAACCAATTGGACTAAATAACTCAAGTTGTTTGAAAAAGATTCAATAGTTGATCTAGTGTGGGTGTTGATTCTTTTGGTGGTAATAAGCTAAATATTTGACTTAGCCACATTATTGTAAAATTTCAATTTTCAAGCGGCAAGTGTTTTTCGTTTTTTCAACTAAATATTTGACTTAGCCACTCGATCTCATCAAATACCTAGCCGAGAATTTTGGGGTATGGGCGCCGTCGCTGTCGTAAAAAAAAAATGCATATTTGGGACTTGGGAGTCGTGTTGTGTTCACATTTCGTCGTATTATAAATACGAAATGGACAGAAGGAGGAAAAAGAGAGAGAGAGAGAGGCAGAGCACAGAGCCCTGGTTGTGATTTTCGCCCTCCTTTCCTTTCCTCTCCTCCAAAATTAAAGCACTCAATTTCCCACGAAACAACCAACGTACACCACCACCATTATTTGTTTAATCACCAATTATTAAACCCACTCCCCAATTTCCCTCCATCTCCTCCGAACCTTCACCCCCAATTTCCCCTCCGCCGCGACCACTATGGGGAACTGCCTCGCCATTGGAACTCCGGTCAACCACTACCAAGCCCCCACCACCACCGCCGCCTCTCCAGGTTCGAATTCGTTCATTGACGGTCGTTGGTTTGCTTTTGCTTGCCGGAAATTGAAATTCTATATATTGGGTTGTTGTTCGATTTGGCAGAGTTTAGTGCCTCGCGGAATAACAGCAGCGACGACGTCGTTGAGAGCGTGAGTAATAACGGCGGAGGCAACAGTACTAGGCCGAGCTTGAAGATCTTCAAGCTGGCGGACCTAAAGAGCGCGACGAGGAATTTCCGGCCGGACACGGTGCTCGGGGAAGGCGGGTTCGGGACGGTTTACAAAGGGTGGATCGACGAGAGGACCTTCGCGCCCTCCAAGGTCGCCGTCGGGATGCCCGTCGCCGTCAAGCGGTCCAACTCCGACAGCAATCAGGGGCTCGAGGAGTGGCAGGTAAATTACAAACTTTGACTTTTTCCTCGTATTGTATTGTATTTTATTTTATATAGTGGCCGGCCAACCGTCCTCAACATGATACGTATCACGTATACGATGCCGTTTTGGTTGAATATATACATGTGGAAAAAGGTTAGAATATATAATAATAATATACAATGGACGTATGTGTATTGACAATTTAGCAATGATTTAACCTCTTACAAAACGTAATTGCTTACGTATACCTCAACGGGACATTTGAGCATATATTAGATTATTTCCTAACGAGAAAACCAATTCCATTCATTTTATTCTTCAACACGGATTAACTATAAAAAAAATATTTTTTTCATTTCGAATTAAATCACAGAATGGATACCATTATGTAATTTCTCATGTTCAAAGTAAAGGGTTGACATAAACGTATGCTACAAAAAGAAACACATGATTATCTGTTTTTTAATATTTATTTTAGATGCGAAATTTCTGATGAAAATCTTGTTGAAATTTTATTTCACTTATGGCATACAACAACATATGTTTGGGGGGAAAAAAAGGTAAACTTAATATACTATTAAAAGATTTTATTTTACTTTCGCATCCTACTTTGACGAATTTCTGAACAACCCAATCAGTTTAGAAGTGTACGTTTAGAAGTGGGGAAACAAAGGACGGAGTATGATCTACCGTCAAGCTAGAATAAGTAGCCTTGTCAAAAAAAAAAAAAAAAAAAAAACTAGAATTAGTAGCAGAAGTAGGAGAAGAGTTCACCATGTACAAAGTCAGTGACTGACTGGAATTATATATATAAAAAAAATAGACAGAATTAAGAAGATGGTGATCATGGTATCCAAATTTGAACATTGTCAATGAGTTCAGACCTGTTTGTTGTCTCTTACTCGTATTTCATTACTTAATTATTAATGAAGTATTGGAATATTGGGATTCGGCAAAGAAATAGATCAGCCAACCCCACCAGCCCACAGACTAATCCTAATTGAAATATTCCTGGCTTTCCTAATTTTGTTGACCTCACCAAACAATTGCATTAATCTTATATTACTTTTATGTATAAAAAAATAAAATATGTTTGACTTGTTCAGCCAATTTTTAAAGTCATAATGCATTGACAAATTTAAAATTTCCCATCATATCCGCAGAAAGTCATGGGACTACCCATCTCTACAACCATGTGCCCCCATCCTTTTCTTTCGCAGAAATACAGACTAAAAAAAGTCATATTCACAACCACATGATGATTATCATTCTCGTTCGTGTCAAATTGATCTCAAATGTAATTATTGTATGACCAAAAACAATGTTAATTCAGACGAAAGTGATTTATTATTTGTTTGAATTCCAAGTAATAATATATTTAGTCCTATAAAACTTGGTAAATTTACCTAAAAAGTATACTATTAAGACAATTGATCTGCCATACATCCAAAACCAAGTGTGTGTCACAAACTAACTTCATATTCATATATTGTGTAAAGTTTGTAATATCTACACATGCAGGCGGAAGTCAAGTTTTTGGGGAAGTTTTCACACCCGAATCTCGTCAAGTTGTTGGGTTACTGCTGGGAAGAGAATCAATTCCTGCTGGTCTACGAGTACATGCAGAAAGGCAGCCTGGAAAGTCACCTCTTTAGAAGTACGTACAATGAACACCATATGAAAACCCTACCACGTATGCATGACTTATCTCTTATGATTATGTTATGAACTTAGATTGTATGACATCTGATCGTGCTAAAAAAAATGTTACAGAGAATGCAGATCCATTACCATGGGAGATCCGTCTGAAGATCGCAACGGGCGCTGCAGAAGGCCTAGCTTTCCTCCACTCATCGGAGAAAAGTGTCATCTACCGCGACTTCAAAGCCTCCAACATTCTCCTGGACAAGGTACATATCGGTCTATCATAATTTAGAGTCATCCTTCGTGTTCCTCTTCCCTCTCTCTTCTTCCATGTTCGTCGTCGTGATTATATTTTTTTACATTTGATAAAATTTCGATTGACAGGAGTACAACGCCAAGCTATCGGATTTCGGGCTGGCGAAGTTCGGCCCGGTGAACGGGAAGTCCCATGTGACCACCCGTGTCATGGGGACCCACGGATACGCAGCGCCGGAGTACGTAGCGACGGGCCACCTGTACGTCAAATCCGACGTGTACGGTTTTGGGGTTGTCCTCCTGGAGATGCTTACGGGCTTACGGGCCATGGACACGAACCGGCCTAGTGGAGAGTACAAGCTCGTGGACTGGGCCAAGCCCTCTCTCTCCAACAAGAGGAAGCTCAGGAAGATCATGGACCCGAGGCTCGATTTAGAGTACCCGTTGAACGCCGCGACGCAAGCGGCCGAGCTCATCCTGCAGTGCTTGGAGGTCGATCCCAAGAGCAGGCCTTCCATGGAGGAAGTGGTGGAGACTTTGAGGAAGGTAGCTGAGATCAAGGTGAAGCCCAGAGAGGGCAAAGAAGGTAAATCAGGAGGAAAGGACCGACGTGGCAGTCATGGTAGTCATAGTTACGGACATAGCCCAAGGGATCATCATCGGCCCAGATATGGTGGAAATGGGATTAATGGGTCTCGGGCCCATTCAGCAGGTAGATAGCTAGGGACAGTATTTTGTGAATAAGTTAGTGCACAACGACGACGTACTATCCCTATATGTGCACGTTGACTCCCCATACTCGTGGACGTTTTTACTGGGCCGAACTTTGAGAAGAGGGAGATATCTCTGTAAGATAGATAATGGGTTTTGTATCGGGTTGTAAATGGGCCACTAGGTGGGCCTCATTGTGCACGTTTGGTCCAGCTTGACTGCTTGTACGTTGGTAGATTGGTGATATCTTAGTTCAATTTGCCCCCGAATTCTATGGTCACTTTAATTCGAGACCCTCAACTGTGGTTACGCTGTGTAATCTTACCTGACTCAAACTTGTACCCTAGGCTTGTTAGCTGCAAGCAATATATACAATAGGAGCTCGAAGCACGAGAATACGGCTTAAGCGACATGAAACTAGCGGTTTAAAAAGAGTGGCCGATAAGGTTAACGAGAATTCTTTATGGGTGAGGGGTAAGAGATTCACAATGGTTAAAGTTGCATTGTACTATAAATCTAATATATTTGGTGTTTTTAATGGAATTTAACAAATTTTGTATTGCAAGTCAGTCCGAAAGGTACAGATTAGAAGGTCGACCATGATACAAGAATATATTGCAATTCCGATAACTTGAAGTCATTGACATGAAAGATAATATTTCGTGGACTACTATTTCGAATTCTAAGCTTGGAAGAAGTCAAATGGCTCCCATGTCAAGAGTAGTGATCATGAAGAAGGCGATATGATTGCATGAGCTAGCAACACGATAAGGAATTTGGTAGGAGAGGGGCCTAAAAAAAACAATGATATTCAGTGTTTTGCAAAGTACACATATAGATAGGAGATTCATAATCATGAAGAAGATAGAAATGAGTAAACATAAGGGAATTTGTAGCAGCCGGGATTTTCTTTTTACCCCTAGATAGACTCTAGGTGAGTCAAAGGATATGATTACTTGTATGCCCCATGATCATGATTATAGTTCATCAATGATTTGATGCATGGCGATTTGCAACTATATATATGCTTTTGTCATTGAAAGGGATGTTTAATTTCTAATTAGCGCAAGAGATTAAGTTCTTTTTATACCAACACAAGTCTAGAGGGTGTATTATAGAGACTTAACTACAAGCGTGACTGCAACCAAATGTGGTAGTACGTATGCAACGAATAACCAATGAAAGATAGCCACAATCAAGGAGTGTGTAGTTTTGTTCGATGGAACATGTGCGATGACCAGTTATGGGTCACCACCAATTGTTACAACTTACAACCAAAAAACTAATGTATTAGGGAACATCTTATAGCATCTCGATGAGAAAGTAATTTAACAATAAAGGTATTCGGCCTGCCATCATAAAAGTTTCATTAAAAGTAAGTAAGATTGAATCATCACATGATAGACCTACAATATCAGTTGTACAAGAAATTTCTATCTCAAGATACTAAAGGTTACCCTCGAAGCTTAGTCGAAAATCCCGAATAAATTAAACAACAACAAAGTGTGATTCAACTCTTGTAAGGAATTAATTCTAAACAATAAATATTTTAAACTCATAATTAATCGGATTCTCCATAATTGGGGGAAATAAAAGCTTTATTTTTTTGGAGGTTGGAACTTGGAATAATTTAAATGGTTAGATGGGAGCTAGCTAATTATCTGATTAGGTATAGTGCGCATAGTCAAGCTAGTATCGTGAAGATCATTGATTGGTATTTAGTAGTATTAAGGCCATGCCGATCTACACGTGAATGGTCTTTTGTTAATGAGATGCGATTTAGATTCCAAAACGTAGTAATCAATAGGAAAGTATGCCAAGGACTAATAAGGAGATATGATTGTTCCACATGCCCCACGCCCCCACTATTTGACCAGCCATCCTAGGCAAAAATACTATAGTAACCAAGAATAGTAAAATTATGTTGGAAGTTGTATGGAAAAAGTCAGTGATAGAATACATTTTCTGTTGAAATTATGGTTTAAGTATTTTTTATACCGTCAAAAACCGCTCATTAGTTTAGCCATTGATAGAAGGTTTCATGGTTGGACCACTCGCACAGTACGTGTAAGATATATGAAGAAATGGAAATGACACAATACACGATTTACGTGGTTTTCTCGTTCTATTCAGTTTGAACGAGACTGATCCACACAAATCGCTACCGCTCTCTGATTTTTGTTATTATTTTTGTAATCTACAGAGTGAGACTACAACCATACAATGACACCTTTTATATCCGAGACCCTATCACAATCTAATTAGGGTTCAGTTACCTCCATAGGGAACTAACATAATCATCACCCCAATAACATAAAAGGTCAACTAGGTCATTAAACTATGCACATCATTAACATGCATGCTCCGCAACACCCCCCCTCAAGCGGAGGCGTGAATGTTGTGAACGCCAACCTTGAAAATCAAATAAGAGAATCGACCAGCCCCCAAACCCTTTGTGAACATATCTGCAACTTGGTCTTGGGTGGATATCTTCTAATGAGCTATCTCCTAAGAAGCCACACGTTCATGCATGAAATAACAATCCATCTCAACATGCTTTGTTAGCTCAAGGGATATCAGGTTAGTTGTGATATGCAATGCGGCTTGGTTATAAAAGTGTAAAGGCATGGGAGCATTCATGTCCACTCCAAGATCACGGAATAACCAACACAGCCAAATCAATTCACTCACAGTGCTTGTCATAGTTCTATACTATACTTTTGCAGAGGAACAATCTACAATTGTTTGCTTCTTACTATGCCATGAAACCGGACTGTGACCCAGTTGAATGAAATAATTCGTTGTTGACCTGCGAGTTTGTTGACAACCACCCCAGTCTACATCACAAAATGATGTCAGACTTAGAGAACCCTTTTACGGGGGAAAACCATGACCAAGTGCCTCTTTCAGATAACGCAGGACACGATGTGCAACATCAACGTGGGCTTGCCATGGGTTGTGCACAGCCTGGCTGAGAACGTTTACAACATACACAATGCAGGGTCTCGTGACTGTCAATTACAACAGTCAACATACTAACATGTTTACAAATAAAAATCATTTCAAATGAAAGTTACTCATAAGGGTTTTGAACTTTGCACATGTTCGAATATCATGTGCTTAACAAGTGAACTCGTGGAAATTCGATCACAATACACCTCGATCGCTAAAGACTCTGATGCTATAAAAAGAACTAATCGATCCCAATAAGTCAAACTGTCAAAAAAGATTCGATATAAATCTTATACCGCATACTAACTGTTGACATCCAAAATTACGCATTAAACAGGCACGTTTTCCACAGCGAAACACTAACCTATACTTATGTGCATTATTTCTCATCTCGACCTAGCCTCAGCAACTTCGCATCCCACTAGTGTTTTTATAAGCTATACATGTATCCATAACTGACAATGAAAGTGTAGTCAACTAAGCCAAATTAGAAACTATATATAGATTTGGCATGGAATGGATCACATATCAATGATGTTCATTGTGGTGGAGTGGCTGCAAAAGGGATGATGAAGGAGCTAACTAAAGAAGAAGCTTTAAAGCACGCACATGGCTCAACCAAATGAGGAGCACAAGCGGCGCATTACTTCCCAAGTTAATCATTGGGGCCATGATGGTTGATGAAGGAATATAATCTCAATCTGCTGCAAAATCCAGCGGCCCAACTTTCTGTTTATCTTTTAATCGTGGGCTAAACAACGTTCAAAATATAAAACTATTGGGCTAAATATCTTTCATGGTACAACGGAAAGAAAAATTAATCCATGGTAGGAAATTTCAAGACATCAGTATTTGCATACAATGAGAAATTTTACAATGCTATATAGTATTGGTGCTATAGGTTTTTGCCTTAATGGTACAACTTAAAATTGTACATTTACGTTATGGTACAACTTTAGATTGTACCTATACTTTTTGTACAAATTCTTTTATGGTACAACTTGAACTTGTACCTTTATGTGATGGTACAACTTCAAGTTGTAAAGTTGTACCATAACATAATGGTACAAATTGCTTTATGGTACAACCTAAACTTATACATTTAATGTTATGGTACAACTTTGAGTTGTACATTAAAGCACCAGTACTATATAGCATAGTAGAAGTGCTCTGCATACAATATCTATGTTCTTTTTGGTGACGTTCAGGTTACATTTATACTACTCGCATACTTGTGCTGAATTTTTTATACGGATTGTTGTTATATGATATTCTTTTACAGACCGTTTGGTACCAAGTGAATATAGAATTCATTTCATTTGAAAATGAAATACCGTATAGAATTCATTGTTAAAATGAATTACAATGTTTGGTATGTCATATTCAAATTTTTAGAAATAAAATGAATTTAATTCCCATGTCATGTTTGACATACATTTAGAATTGAATTAAATTAAAAGTTTCCAACTATACCATTATTAATTTACGGCAGAAACAATATTCATTGAAAATTCATTTTCTAAAAAATGCATTTGGTCCCATACGTAGAATTAGGGCTGGGAAAATAGACCAGACCGTTAGAAAAACCGTGGTCCAAACCGTACCGCACAGTTTGGTCTGGACCGTAAACCGTTAAGTATGGTCTGGTATGGTCCATGGTCTGGTTTATTTTATGTTTTGATCTCTTGGTCTGTCTGGTATAGACCGCGGTTTACCGGACCAAACCGTGGACCCAACCGACTTGTCAATACTTGTTAATAGCTCATTCGATCACCCTCCCAACTCACACAATGACACCCAAATCTCAACCTTAATTTTGAGAATCTCGTCCCTCCTTCGTTCACAACCACATTTAACCAGAGAGTAGAGATAATCGTGTCTCCATATGACATTATGTTAATGTTTATAACGTTATGGTGCAAGTTTGTATGCTTTTACTTTGTATTTTTGTTATTTCTAAGATTTAGGATATCAAAATTGTTCATGCATGTTAGGATTAATGTTTTAAGGCAAATAACAATTATTTTTCTTGGTTATTGGTTCAATTTTTTGTGTGGTTGACTAAACAAATTATTCATTTTTCTTTGAGTGTGGTCTATCTGGACCAGACCAGACCAAACCAGACCGCACAGCCGTGGTCTGGACCAGACCGTATAGTCTGTGGTCTGGTCTGTGGTCTATACTCCAGCCTCTCGGTCTGGACCATAGACCGTATATATAGTCTGGTCTGGACTAGACCGCACCGTTTCTCAGCCCTACGTAGAATATCAAAGTGTTCTTGTATGTTTCTATTCTATTCATTAGTTCTTTTCGAATATGTTCGTCGATGAACCCTACACTCTAGTTGTGCCTTCTTAATGTACTGATACAATCGAAGCAGAAATATCAAATAACAAGAATATGCTAGTAGCTTTTCAATCAAATTATTATCGATGTTCCTCATATTGCATGGATTGGAGTCAAATAATATATGTAGAAGTAATTTAGTTAATAAATGAGGATAATTATGTAATTCTATTATAATTAGTAAATTTTCGTGGAATTCATTTGGAAATTCCATCTCAATTTCTCGAAATTGCTATAACT